ATGTTGAAAAGCCAAAGGACTTCCACTCACTAGGAATCCCTCATGCCTGCCCAGGTGTACAGGCAGCCTGGGAAAAGCAGAGCCACTGACTGGAGCTGCCAGTGATCAGGGAAAAGACTAGCCAGGAATGAGGATGGAAAGCAGGGAAAGCTGGAGGAGGTTGCAATTATTGACCAGAGGACAGCCTCTTTTGATCTATACCTGGCACAGCAGACTACAGAGCATTCTAGAGCCACACCAATTAAAAGGAGGCCAAATCATCACCAGGACTGACACCACTGTACAGTTTCTGAGTGGCTCAGGGCTCAAAGGGAAGCATGGCTCCCAGCAGCACAGCCTTCACACTCTTCTCATGTTGTTCCTTCTGTCTGCTCTGCCTTTGCATTAAAAGCACTCAAGTAGTCCATAGGTCTCCAGCCAGACTGAGTGAACAGCAAATTGAGATGCCAGTGAATAGTTCTGGTGATACTTTCCCTGTGCTTTGTCACCCTCTCATTCCAAATTGTCTTGAGAACACCAAGAGGCTGCTGATGGCCATGAGAAACATCATCAGATCTCTACTGGCCTGGCATTAGGGTTATATGACCTTGAATTACACATTCACAGCAGACAGTATGACTGGAAAAATCAGGAAATATCAGAGGAATGTGTTGAAACCTCTATGAATTCTCTAATTCTCCTTGCTAAAGGATATGTATTTTCAATAGTGGATTTTCCCACAGGTCTGTTGTGATTTTCCAAAAATAATCAATAGCCCTAAATTGTTACAGTACAGTTGTTATTACTATGGATTACAAATGAAATTCTGGACTTTCATCTGCTGACAGGGGGCTTAGTTTTAACCCACAGTTGCTGAAGGAGTCTCAGTTTTGAGCACTATGAAAGACTCCTTCATCTAGACATCATAATTTAAAAGAAACCAGTAGGTTAAGAAGGTGTAACAGGATATCAAAATAGCTCTAACACAAAAACAACTTGCATATCAGATTGTTAAATGAAAATCTATCAAAGTATCATTTATTGAAGTAAACAAATAGTCTATCTGCCCTGTCTTTGGAAATATTTTGCCTCAGGGAAAAATTTAAACCTGGACAGATAATCAGGGTAAGGTATTTGAACATTTAAATCTTGCTGGATCCTTTAAAGTAGGTGTTAAGTGGTGCATTAAATTTGTGCTGTTTCTTCTGAGCTGGGTAAATTTGCTCTTCTGTAAATAGTGGGAAGAGCCTTTTACAATAATTTGAATCCATGAATAAATGTAATGTATTAAAATTTCTAAAGTACAGGCATTAAATGTTTTTGTACATAAGCCAAATGAGTGGAATATCCAGGACTAGAATTATTTGAGTGACCACAGAAAGATAATATATAATTAAAATGACATCTGCACCACTAACCGAGGGGATGAGAGAAAGTGACATCACAGATCTCATATAAGCTGCAAGCGTATTATTAGATCTAAACCTGGCTGTAAAATTACTATCTACCCAAGGGATTATCTTTAGGCATTCAGAAGCATTGTTTCATTTACTGATAGAACAGGCATGATAACAGGCTGACTTTGCTTGTCACATTGTTTTTTGGCCTTTCTTTATTCTTTGTTCACATTAGCTGTAGATGAGAGGAAGACAAGTTTCAGCTAAATCACTGTCGTGGAGCTTTTCATTGTTTTACAGTTTGTTCCAAAGGCTTTTTTTATCCTCCCTCCCCCCTCCCCTAAGAAAAGAACCCCAAAGCATTTTTAATGGTGATAAAATCAATGGGGAGTAAAAGATGCACACAGTGTAACATCGAGGAGTGTAGCAAACTAAGGAATACCCATTGGCCTAATGCACCTCAGGGAGACCATAAGACTTTGCTTATAGCTCTCATTATTAGCACAAAGAACCACTGGCTGCTAGTTATATCTTGGCCTTATTAAAATTCAGTGCCAAAACTCCAACTGGTTTCAGTGGGTACATTTCATCATTTGAGACCTAGGACAGAGGACATAATTCTCATTCACATGCAGGGCTATCTGGGACACCTCTCTCTACAGATTTAATTTCTGCATGAAATTGAAAAAAAGCTGCATTTTGTTCTGTTTTACACACCATTTTTATGTCTCTGGCTAATATTATTTGCCTATATTTGTAACAAGACTCATGTGCCACCAACCTAAAACATTCAAAACTCTATAAGCAGATATAGAATATAGGCAGTGAAAAGGGGAAAAAAGAAAGCTCCCAACTTTCTGGTCACTTTTGAACAATAATTATACTGAACTGCAAAGGAGACTTAATTTGCATTAAGAAATCTGTCCCTATTAGTCTAACTCCTAGCACTTGAAATAGCTCCCATATGCCAATTTTGCCAACTAAGCAGAAGCCCAGGAGCAGACAGGTCTGCAGGCAGCCATGGAATTGTGCACACACTGCTAAGGCAAACACAGACCTTGCACTTTCCCCCACATTGTCCTGGTGTTGGGCAGCTACTGCCATGTGTCATCTCTCACAGCACCTCCCAATACCCCTCCAATAGATCCTTAAACCTCTGGCCCATCAACTACTGTAGCCTGCAAACAGGCTGCATTATGCAGATTTCTGCCTCCTGATCTTGTCACCACAATCTCGCTTTTTTCTGTGCTGTCCCTTGTTTAAGGGAGTGACCAGCACAGTGAAGGGTTTAGCCCATGATGGACCCCCTCAGTGCTACAGCCACAGAAACAGTCTGTGTTTCATTAATAACAGCTTACACAGCAACCACTTTTACTCCACATTAGGTTGTTTCATTGTTCCTTTTATCCTTTCATAATTCATACACAGAACAGACTTTCCATGCAGACCCTGCTGGCATGAATCTTTGATTTAAAGCCGTCCATACCTACAGCCACATCTGCAGCCATTAAGAGTTCACACTGGACCTGTGCAGTAGAAATGAGGTGCCTGCAAGCAGTTTATACACATCATCAGTGCCAGAAGATATTCCTGCAGCACTCAGCCTGGGCCAGGAACCTTGTTTATGAATCACCAGTTGTTTGTGGCCACTCAGTGGTGCTTACCATCCCTCAGATGAAAAGAAAAACAAAACTAACAAAGGTGGGCTGAAGAAACAGCAAGCAGCATGTAGTGATAAACTGCAACAAATGTACAAGTGAGACATCACTGCAGAAAAAGTCAAAGAGCAGCAATATATTTGAATATAAATTTAATTTCTTAAATGTGTCCTGGAAGTAATGTAGGGTAAACCAAAATCCATTTTATCCTGAGAAGTGGCAGCTGTGGGGTGAAGCTGTGAGAATAAGTTGGGAGGATCCAGTCCCTCCTGTGCTGTTACTCCATCAGCATTACTCTTCATCTCAGAGAGGCAAGAAGCATCTCTTACACCTCAATATTAACATCCTTCATGTGGATGTCGTGTGTTTTGTGCCAATTGTTATGCAAAAATTTGTTTCAGTTACCTCAAAATTGGAATTCTCACTGATATTCTTTGTTTCTCACTACACATCCATATTCCTCCATGAAAAGAAATGAAATGAAGCTTCATGCAATAAAAGAAAATGAAGTGGAATGCAAAAAAAATTAAATGAAAAAATATGAAAAGAAATGAAAGGAAACCTAAAGAAATGAAATCTTGAGATTTCATATCCTTTCATCAAATGAAAATTCATTTCATGAAATAAAATGAAAAACCAAATAATAAACTTAGATTAAATGAAACATCATGGGATAAAGGGAAATGAAATTTTTATGAAAAAACAAAGTAAAAAATGAAAATAATTAAATGAAACAAAGAAATTAAATGAAATCTTGGGATTTCATGTCGTGAATGAACATGAAATGAAAAGTCAAGGAATTAAATGAAATGAAATTCAATTGAATTAACTGAAATGAAACAAAGTTAAATTTAAAGAAATTAAAGGAAACATACCAAAATGGAATTAGATGAAATCTTGAGATTTCTTTTCCTTTCCTTTCACAAAATGAGCTTTCATTTTGTGAAAGGAAATGACATGCCAAATCAAAGAATGCAATGAAATTAAATTAAATTAAATTGAGAAAACTGAAATTAAAAAATGAAATAATTTGAAATGCAACAAAATTAAATTAAATGAAATCTTGGGATTTCATTTCATGAAAGGAATGAAATGACAAGCCAAGGAATGAAATAAGATGAAACTTAATGGGAAAAGAGGAAAATAAAGGAAAAATAAAATTAAATTAAAAGAAATCTTGGGATTTAATTTCCTTTCATGCTTTTTCTTCTTTTGCCCAAAAGAAACTTTTGTATCACAGAACCAAAGCAGAGGTCTACAGTCCAAATGTTTCATATATCAAAAATAGAAAAACTTTAATGAAAAGTGTATATGCCTTCACATACTTTATAAAACAAGACTGACAAAAACAAGCACAAAAAACTTCCTCAGAGTGCCTTATGTCCAAAAAAAGAGGTAACAAATGATTTGCTAACAATGGGCAGCCATTTGTTTGCACATTTCGGGTGGTATTTACTACCTTTCTGTTTAGCCATCTCAGCTCCAGTGGCTGCTCCAACCAGACACTCAGATTGTTCCCAAGTTCCAAAGCAGCAGGAACTGGCACAGGGCTCTGTCAAACCTGCTTCAGTTCTTAGGGAGAAACTGGGTTGAAACACTCAGCGGGTTTTTTCCCCCTCTGATCCTTGAGGAAAAGTAGTGTAGACATGACACATGACTTTAGGACAGGAAAAATACTCCATAGGCTGAATCCTTCCTTCTGGGTGTAGAAACTGGGCTGAGAAGTCACCCCAGATGCAACTTTTCTGCATCCTTCCTTGAAGAGAAATACTAAGAGCAGCAATATTGGAATGTGCTAACAATTCTGCCTGATGGTACATACTGCTAAAACTTAATCAAATTTTCACTAAACCACTTTGAATGTTCAGAGATATTGAGTTGGTTTTTCAAACAGAGGCTTATGCCACTTCCAGTTTTTCCTGAAAACATTTGCTTATCCATATATTTATCACAGAAATAGTCTTACCTGAGCTGCATCTTGCTGGTGTCTGTGGACAATTGCATTTTTTATGGTTTGTATAAAAAATTCATTCAGTTCCTTTTGCTTCTTGCTGGGAAAAATGCGTAGCAATGGGATCATTATGAATGGGAAAGAAACTGTAAGAGATTGCAAAGAAGAAAACATTGACTCAGACTGTGAGGGCATATAATAGTCATCCTTTCTCTTCCTTAATATTATAAAACTTATCAAGTGGGATGTGCTTCTTTTATGAAAACTGATTTTTCCTTTCCCTTTAGCAACCTGTGAGAGTGGGAAAAAAAAAAATATTCCCTTGGGAGATGTCCTACTGGCCAGGACTCCCTTTCCAGACAGATGCCTTCCAAGCCTGTTTCCACAATGCCTCAGGATTTTGGTTCAGATTTTTGGTGTCACAAAGCCACTATAACAAAGGGGAGCATTATTCCCCTACCTGCCCAGACAATTACATAGGGAAATTGGGGAATCTTGAACTGGCCCAGCAGCTTATAGCACCAACATGTGAAATTGGGTAGTTTTCATTCCTGTTCACAGCTCTCCAGCATTAAGGACCTATATGAAGGATTGGGGCTCTTTAGGGCCTCTCACAACAGGACAAAGACTATGGGGTTTAAACTAAAAGAGAGCCAATTCAGATTAGATATAAGGAAGAAGTTCTTTACAATGAAGTTTGTAAAACAGGGGCACAGTGCCCAGGGAGGTGGTGGATGCCCCATCCCTGGGAACATTCAAGGTCAGGAGGGACAAGGTTATAAGCAAACTGACCAGGTTGAAGACATCCCTGCTTATTGCAGAGGATTGGACTAGATGACTTTTTAAGGTCTCTTCAACACTCTTGTGTGATTCTGTTTATTTTGCTTCTCTAAACAGGCCACAGACTCAGGAAGTGGGATATGGGATATTATCAAAAGGATGGTCTCCACTCCATACTTTTATAGTCACAACCTAGAAACCTGAGTGAAGTCTTATATTCTAATAAACTCCTCACTAATTTATGAACAATTTAAGACTAACAAATCAATCACTGAAAAAACCCTGTCCTGCCAACAGGGCAACTACATTGTGGAAATTCTCACATTAATGAATGAGCAGAAAGAGAAGAATCAAGGAATCCAACTCCAAACATTACAGAAACTTTTCTTTAATGAAAGACCCACTGCTCTCAGATGTATAGGGGCACATTTCTGTCCCTTAAGAAATTGGTTACAAATCACATTTTGCAATCAGGTTAAATGTTAACCCCGGGGCAATTTGGATACACAGCTCCAGAAGGAAACAGTTGATGTGCTGTGAGTACAGGTGCAATCTGTAATGCCAGCAGGATCAGATGGGCACAGGAAACTGCCACTGTGCCACCTGATACTACTGTGTGCAGATAACGAGATGATAAAACCTCACAAGCCTTGATTATGCTGTGGCTTCCTCAGCTGTGATTCTTACTGCCCTTGAATTATCAGGATCACCACCACCATGAAGCCTAAGCTTTCATGCCCTAGAACTACATGGTTTTATACCCCACTCTTGCATTGCCTATCTATCAATCTAAAATAAATGTATTCTCTCAAGACACATTGAGAGAATACATTTATCCTTCAGAGCCGTCAGCCAGGCTGTGGACAGTGTTCAAAAAAGAATTGGGAGTACTTACACAATCTCTTTATACACTTCCACCTCTTTTCTTCAGTAAGTTCATAATGGGTGGGATTTCAATCTCTACTAAGCAAATCAAGTGCACAAAAACTTTACACTTTGGTCCCAAAGGGCAATTACTCTGTTTTAGTGAGAAGTTTATTAAAACAAGTACTGTAGAAACTGCAGGACCCAGAAACTTTCCTGTCAGAGGAACCAGAAGCATTGTGTTCCTAGAGTTTCATTAATGGTGACAAGACCTGTAGAGCATATGGTGGAAATCTCAAGAGTAGAAGTGGCATGTGAATGTCAGCTACAGTACTTCCTACTCTGGCTCCAGCATGAAGCAATTTTGCAATTTGAGAATGACTTTTATGAAATTACCACAAGAAAGTAGACAAATGTAGATTGTACTCACGGATTAGAATGAGAAGAGGCTTAAACAAAGACATTTCAAAGAATGTTCTGGAATTCTTAACAAAGGGGTCATCAGGATTCTTCTGAGAATCCACCTCAGTACCAAAAGCTACGCTACCAACGACATCCAAGGTAAAGCAGTTGTAACACCTGCATTTCATTGAAGAATGATAAATTATTATCTAAAAATCACATATCCATTAATATCTTGCTTCTACGAACATCACACAGAATTAATTTTTGCCACTGAGTTTCCTTTCGCTTTTAGACCTGAGCTTTGCCAACAAGAGATTTTTCCATGATTCTGACAAATGCTGCTTGATAATGATCACTTTTTCCAAACCTACAAAGTGAACATATATTCATACAGCTCAGTAATTCTACTAAAATTTTATTGAAAACTATTTAATTTGCTATGACCTAGAAGTCAAATGTAACACATCAGAGATGCATAAGCATTTTCTTAGTATGAATCCTAATAAATGAGATAATTCCTTTCTCATTTTTAACTGCAAAAGCCACACCTATTTCCAGTCCAGTCTAAACTCTCAGAGACAAGGGGTTCTTAGGTAAAGTTAAGGTCCTTAGGGATTTCCTCCTCCTTCTTCTTCTTCTTCTTCTTCATACCTCCTTTGTAATTTAACTCTGTGGACAAAATCAAGAGAAACTGACACCATGTGAAATCTGTATCTCTGCAGAGGAGCCACCAGTGCTTTGAGAACTCCAAATTATCTGTGGACCATGATCTAGAAACATCAGAATTTACTAAATGGCTCCCTGCATATCTCACCCTCAATCCAGCTGTCTTACTATCTTTATTTTCCCAGAAGGCTTTAGCAGCTCTATTAAGTTTTGAGATGGGTGGACTGAGAATGTAAAATATCCTTGGAATTTGATTCTTCTGATCTGTGGTGAAGTAAGCAATGTCTGTACTTCCATGATCCTTAGGAAAGGCTAATATTAATCTCTGGTGTTTTAATCTGAGTGAGCATGTATGAAGGGAAGAACAGGAGCCAGGCCCATTACATCCTGCATATGTGAATCAGTAATTCTATTAATTATGTGACTCAGTAATTGTGTAAATCAGTATTTCTAAACAAAAATCTTTGTGACCTATCATTCTGATCACACCAGAGAAGATTTAAAAGATAACAAGAATAATGCAAAACTCACTTCTTTTGGTCTTCAACTCTTACACACACACAAAAAAAAATCATTAGAAGTTAAAATATTAAAAGGGAGGGGCATTGCTATAAACAATAATTTCAGAAGGACTCAATCAATCATCTACCTCTCCAAGGTACTGAAAAATAAAACAACCTTAAAAACTAAATTTTGAGTTGTTGGCAAAACACAAAACAGCTAAAGACAACTAAGGTCATAGGAGGTTGCAGATAGGTCTTTTCATCCAAAAAAAAACCAGTTCCCAAGGCAATTCTGTAAAACTGCAGTGGAATGAGAATCACATTTATAAATATGTCAAACCTGCTGAAATGGTAGTATGGTAAAACAACTGGAAATATCATGTTCCGAGATGGTCAACATCATTCATTTAGACTTTCAAAGGGTCTTTACCAAAGTGTCCCTTGGGAGGTGAAACCCTATAATGGATCAATAGCTAAAAGACCACTCAAAGACAAAGGACAAATGGAAAAATGGAAAAGACTGGAAGGACTGAAAAGGTCAGTTTTCATCACAGCACAAGGCTAGTGTAATGTATCTTGAGGTTTCATAGCATCTCTTCAGCTGTTTATTAGAGAGATCTCTGTGCGTACACACACACACACACATTTGCATGTGCACATATACTTGAAAAAAGATTAATACATTGTGGCTAAATACCCATTTCTTCTGATGAAACAATATTATTTGTGCTGCTTTAGTTTGGGAAAATCATGAAGAACTTCAGAGGGCACTGACCAACCCAGCAAATGAAATGAAAGCAAAATGAAGCAAAAACAGTGCCTGTTAGAAAGAATGCATTTGCATTACTACCCAGGATCTTAGAGAAAATGCATCTACTCAGAGAGGGGGCTAGACAGTGTTGTGAACAGCTCAGTGAAGACCTCTGATGAAAGAGCAGCAGAAAAGATAATAGGATATTAAATGCATAACAAATGAGAGAAAATACAATATGGAAAATATTAAAATGTCATTTGATAAATCAACGGCGCATTTTCATCTGGATTACTGATCCTGCTGCTTCCCCAAAAGCTAGCATGCCATGAGAGGGGGTTAAGAAGAATGTGGTAAGAATGATTAAGTGCTTGAAAAAAACTCATATTAAAAAAAAAAAAAAAGCAAAAAAGTGATGGACTAGATATATTTGATACTAGACCAATTCTTATGTTTGTACATTATTGGCAGCCTGCAGAGAACAGACTGGACAGGGACTGACGCAGCCTTCCTTTGTCCTTCCAGCTGTTAAAACTTCAGTAAATAACTGCCAGAAATACATTAGATGCTTTACCAAAATTACTTTTCAAGTATGCAATGACTGTCCCAGGAAGAAAAGGCTTTTATCAGACACACCCTCCATTAAACTATGATCTCCATTTTTTAAAGTGAGGGAGGAAAAAAAAAATCTTTTCTACAGTAAGTGTGAATTCAGAATAACTGCTGCAATTGATTTTTTCCCCTCTTTTTTAATAATCTGCTACTAATTTTTGGCATGTTGAACATACCTCTGGATATCAAAAGCTTTGCCAGAATCTGCGTAGACTTTCAAGTTACACAGCAGAGTGTCACAAATCTTGTTTATCAATGGTGTCATCTGGAAAGGAACACATTGAATTGTGAAAAAGCATGAAAATGTTAAGAAAAAAAAACACCAAACAAAAATAATTATTTTTAATTATTTTTATCTGATAAACGTGCTAGAGCTTGCAGGTTCCTCTGCAGGTGTTGTTAGGCACTTGTGCATGGGTAAGATGAAATGTTGGCACTTTCTGCTCAAAATAAACCTACACATTACAGGGATGCCCTTCTCCAGCTCTGGGCCTAAATGCAAGAGGCTGTGTCACCTACCTGACCAATGGTCCTTGCCCCACTGTGGCTACATACACAGAGACCTATCAGGCAAAAACATCCCCCTCTCTGTTTAATCATTCCAATGATTTATCATGATCTTTATTTGCACTACATCACATTTAGGCTACATATGCTCCAGGGCAGAAGGAATAATGCTTTCCAAAGTCCTGTAAAGGCACTGGCATCAATTCTATCCTGCCATCTCTCAGTTTGAAGGACTTAACATGTAACTAGAAAGTGGCCCTGGATGCCACTACAAGCTGCTGAGGGCAAACTGCTATTGGTACACAAGGACAGGCTTTTCTCAAGTGGTGGTGCCATTAAGTGGACATTTGTGTGAATTTATTCATCTAAGGGTTTTTTCCAGTCACTGACACATGCTGGCCAGGTAGACTTAACCCCAGCTTGGCTGCAGCCAGCAGTGCAATAGTCTCTTCTTTAGGGCTTCATGGAAACCACAGCACAGGCAAACATCAAGGACTCATTAAAGTCTCACTTTCTGTCTTTTTAGCTTCCTGCATATGAGGAATCAGACACTGTAAGACTGGGTCTCTTCCCTGATAACACCAAATGGGGGAACAGAGAAAGGGGGCAGCAGCAATCCAGCCATGAACCAAAAGGAATTATATCCTACAGCTCTTTCCCATATAGACTACCAAGAGCAGCCTACAACTTAATACCAGGGCCTTGCCTCAACAACTATGACAAGCACCAACAATGTACACACAGAAACTTGCCTTTCCTTCCTGAACTACCTCCCTCAGCATACAGATGTCAACAAACACGAGAACAGACTTATCCTACTCCTCTGACATTCTTGTTACCAAAAAAGACTTACTGCAGCCTCGCAGCACACTCTGAGAGCTTTGCAGCCTGCCCAGCCAAGTCCATTTTGCTTGGCACCTCTACCTCTGTGAAACTGGCACAGCACTTTGTGCACAGGCACTGTGCCATCTCAACACATGGGCAAGACTGCACGCAGTCAAAAGGCCAACGCGGGAGCATCCAATATGTTTTCCAAAGGCACAAGGCTGACTCAAGAATGTGTCTAGCTGCTCTCAAGGTCCCCTGCCTATATGAGTGAAATTACATTGCAAAGCCAGGTCGACTTGGGTTTTGCACAGTCTCACAAGGCAGCTCTGGAGCCAGATTAGCGTTTGGTAAAAGTAGCTGTTACACTTTTGGGAGGTGCACACCGCAGTTACGTGGCAGCCTTCTTCACCTTTTGGCTTTCCAAAGAAAGTCCCCTGCAGCAAGCTTCTTCTCAAAAGCAGTTTCAACCAAATTAATACATTTCTGTTCAACAGATTGAACCAAGGTGAAATACTTCATAGTCTCTGGGTCCAGCCCCCCCCAGTGAACTGAACCAGCCAAGGAGAACAAAACGAAAATCAGTTTTTTAACAGGTATGATGTTTCTGAAACAGATGGCGATCATTTCAGATTTTCCTTTTATTGCCTTATTTTCTCTCTTATTCTTCATCACATCACCAGATCTGTAACCAGCCAGCTGGTTGCTATCACTTTTCAACAGCTGGCAGAGACATCAGGGGCACGTACGTCTGGCCAGGGCATCCCACAGCACCTCTGCACTTTGCACATTCCACCAGCCTCTAGAAATACTGCTGCAATTCGTTCCTAGCCATGAGGTACTTTTATTAGTAAATCTAACCAGGAAAACAGGGAGGGGGCACATGGATTTGATTTACTGTTAGCATGACAATAACAGATTCATGTCAATAAAACAATTATTTGTATATGAAAGCTACAGGGGATATCTAATCTGGAATCCTAGGTTGGGTTTGGGTTTTTTATTCCCCTGGGGGACATAAATTAGTGCAAGATTGCAAGCTACAAAGACCACAAACTGAAACATTCTTAAGTCTCATAACACCTCAAAATCTTTGTCTGATTGTCAAGAAAAATAAAGTAGCGTCAGGGGAGGTGAACTATACCAAGCATAGAAACTTGACATGTTGATCTACACTGCCTTGGGTATCAGTTACTTTCCATTTATTCTGATTTGCCAGTCAGAACATAAAACCTGCATAACCTGCCTGAGATTCAGTTCTTGGTGGGTAAATAAACCCCAGCTGCTTTGTGTTCAGATTGGCTGAGAGTAACAGGATGAAGAAAAATCTAAACAATATGGTCCCTGTAAATATTTGATCTGACAGTTATCTAATAGCAAGAGTAGCCCAGAGTCCAAATTTCTTTCTTTCTGCCAAAGAAGAGCATTTGGGGTTAGGGTTTTCATGATGCCAGGGGCTTTGCTGTATAAATCCTGCCAATATGCTGTTTGGCACGTAACAACAATTAGCTTCTGATTCTGCATATGCACAGTGCATGTGGATCTTTGCACTATTCAAAGGCATCAGAGTCACATTCCTCTAGTTAGATGTGGCCCTCAGTATTCATCAGTATTATTATTCCCCTCATTATTAGCATCCAAACTAAAAACTAGAAGGCTGGATCATATTCACTGTAAGCAGACACACTGGAGACTTTACTGTTCACAGACAGCAAGCAGAAGTCATGTTGGGGCTCTTGTCCCACAAATGTTATGAAACAGAAAGCAGGGAGAAGGAGGAATAATACATCCCTAACACAAGAATTGCTTCCCTTCCAGATTTCAAGTCCCTGAATAAAACCAGAAAAAGAGCAGAGTGTCAGAAAGATGTTTTGTGAAAGGATTTGTTTCCATCACTTGAGAGTGCAGCTGTGCTATTTCTGGGCACAACTTACCAAAATAAGCAACTCAACAAGATACTGGCCTGTGGCTCAAGTTTATGCACATTTCACATTTTTACACCAGTTTTTACATTAGTGATTTGCTTTACCTTACGTGAGCACATTTGCTTTGTTTAGCAACAACAGCAGATTGCAGAGACACTCCCAAAATGCCTTTGACCAATGTGCACAGACTAACAGCAAATCAAGGAAACCTTAATGCGTGGACTGTCAGATCTTATGTCCTAGTGGGACATGAGAGATCTCCATGCCTGAGAGTGACACTAGAGGATTTTTCTGCACTGTTCTGCCATGTTATTACAAGTTCTGCTTTATGTCTCCCTTTATTTGAAAGAAATGCCTCAACACAAACTCTACTTCACAGGTTATTTAGGACACTACTACATTAAGCTGTGCTCTCTTCTTTAATTTTTGTGTTCTGTTTTGTTTAAATGGTTTGTTAATGGAGGAAAGGATCCCTGGCATACTGATAGGAGATGACAAGACTACTGCAGCACCATCAGAATAAATAAAAATCAATAGGTTTTCTGCTGGTGTTGGCTGTAAAAGAGAGTAGAGCTATTTATCAAGTCTGACAAGGGGTCCAGAACTGCAGGATCATCATAGGCACCACAGCAAAAAGAAGAGGAACAAAATAAGAAATACTAAATAGGGAATCAAGGTTGGTACAGCAAGATCACTAACATGTCAGCTTGTTTCAATACATACCAGCTGAGGAGAGCATGACAGGAACACTGGGAAATGTTTCTATTACTTAGAGCCTCTAGGTATCATAATTCACCAATTCCTCATGAATTATATCTCGGATCAACTTTCAGTGATTGGTGTTGTTCCCACTTAACAGATAAAAGTTGTTTCATGCACAGAGAATTTAAGTAGCTTCTGTCAGATCACCCACAGGCAGTCAAGGGCAGGAAAGTGACATGTCTTGGGTTTCCTGTCTCCTGTCTCTCATTTCTCATTCTTAGTGCTCCCACAGCAGTGGAACTATGGGGTTCATTCAGGAGTCTTACTGGAAAGAGCTTATTATATTAGATCTGCTACCAGCTACAGTGGCATCTCACATGGATGCTCCCCAATCTTACTGCAGGCTCAAGCTTGTAAGTCTATTGCTTTATTCACCACCACTGTAGTATTTGTGTTCAATGCTATCCGGACAAATCTTCCTCCAGCTGGAGTGGACTCCTTTAGTAATCTTTACATGCTTGTTAGAAAAAGGGAGAACACCCAAGACATTGAAATCCATAAAAGCAACAGTGAAATGGTGCACAGCTTTTAAAGACAAATTGAGAAAAGAGAAAGCTGGAGAAGATGTTAAAAACTCTTGAAAAATGTTACTAAAGCAACTCTCTGCAGACACACAGAAATCACTATATTGGCTACCCAACAACTCTATAACCTCTAGTTTCAGTTCATTTCCTGTAACTTTGAAAAATTCAAAATTTCTGGAATCATCTTTTGATCATTTGCTGGCTGGCTGTTGGAGATATTTACCATACTACGGGGAAATTCCTCAAGCTCAGTGAACTTCTCAGTGACATCACACCACTTCTTAGAAGTGACAAGGGCAAAGCTCACCTCTGCCCACAGCCCCAGGTGCCTCTGTGGAGCACAGCAGGTTAAACCTTAGCCACACACATTAGCTCTGTCTGGAGCCTTGTCCTCCAGCAGCCAGGCCAAAGGGGCTTCTCACTTCTCACTCTTGCTAGCCCTGAAACTGTCCCTTCTTGAGTTTCTGAAACAGAGATATCAGGAACCTGGGTCTCTGAACTCTCTGTCCCTTGGTGCATCTTTGATCTGACATGATTGCTATGGGGAGCAGAAGGAATTGTTAACATTTGTTGCTCTGTCACAGGCTAACAGTTCCCAATTCCTTTAGAGCATCCAGACAGACAAGCCTATGTTTGGAGTGGCACTAGGGGTGCAGCACTCAAGGGGAACCCCTTTCCAAAGACCTTTCATGAGGTCTGCAATCCCTCCAGCATCACTGTGGAGTCTGCACAGAGGAACAAAGTTAAGGCACTCATCCAGAGTGAACAGAGTGGAAGACTTTGGTGTGGGATTTTGTCAAAGGAATTGATATCTTGGAAGGAGAAATAAGGAATGTCCTAGTAATATTTATAAATATGTATAAAATAGCATATCTAGGATCTTTTGCTATAAATTAGTACCAAATTTGTGTTTGTAATTCAAAGCAGAGAGGAAGGGTTTATTATAAACAGGATGTCTTGCAGATAATGCTGGATACTCTGTAGTATGGCCAATACTAGTACATGGTATTTTTGTTTCCATGCTGCTGTAAAGGTTCTGAGAGAGTACCAAATATGGGAGAGCTAAAAAGTGAGATCATAATTAATGAGCATTGATTTCCTTTGTGAAGTGTTGGTATGGCTCCTAAATTAAGCAACAGCAGGAAAAGCACATGGGCAAGGACTTAAGTTGCATTAACTTCAAATGCCAGTATTGCTAACATATTTGGGTAGAAAATGAAATGCAAGGCTGAGTAGCACATCCGTTCACCAGCGGTTCCTAATCTCACACGGGCTAACTGCAAGTGTCTGTCTGTGTAGGGATGGACAGACTTCTGGTGAAGGCGTGGGGGAGAAAAGCAAAGTTGAACCTTTCAGAAAGACCTGCCCCCCTCCTCTTTTTCCCACTTGCTGCTGAATGGGAGGAGAAAGTGACAAGTTCCAGGTCACCCTAAGCCCATGCACAGTCACACACCTTCCCACAGAGCTTTGGAAGAGGCAGCATGGGCAAAGCTGATTATCAGGCTAAAAATAAATGTCTCAATCCTTGCATGCAAGACAGCTAGCAGGCACTGGCCAGCCCTCCCTTTCACCTCCTACCATTATTCCTGCAGTCCACCTCCACCAACAAGCTATGCATTTGGCTTGGCCAGACCCTGCAGAGCCCAGCCCCAAAGCAGGATCCCTGGGGCTCCACTCCCTTGCCCTCACCTTGCTCCTCAGCCAAGCCTGCCTGGCAGGTGCTGGCAGAGGTTGCTCTCCACAAATTGAGGGGAGTGCAGCGTTATCTTTTGTTAGTCCATGAGCAAAGAGCCGATGACCTGCAGCAAGGCAGATTAATTTCCGCCAGCAAAATGCAAAACTCTGCTCTCCCCACCACGCCATGTGCAACTAATCGCTTGCATATTTAAACACCCTTGCCTTGCTGAAATTTCGTGATGGAGTTGGTGACAGAGCAAATGTCAGGGCGCATAACCAATGGCATTGTCAGTGGTGATTAATCAGCATCTCCGCCAGGCTGGCGGCCAATTAGAATTTACCATAATAAGGAGGTGACAGCCGGCGTTGCTAAGCGACCGCTGTCTGTGGAGCTGGGAGAGCCAGACACATTTAGATGTTACTGTGGATTTCGACAGCGGCATGTCAAAACAACACAAGCGTCTGCCCAGTGGAAAATTTTACAACCCAGGACTGGGCACCGGAGTGAGGCATGATTCTCTTTCAGAATAAAACATAGAAAGGAAGAGGTGATTTTGGTTTGGTTGTTGTGGCATTGTTTTTTTGTAGTTCTCCTTGAAAGAAGACTGTAGCCGGTCAATCATTTATATACATTTAATTAAGAGATATCGTATCACTGGAACAGGACTTTGTTACTGGGTAATGGGTTCCCATGGCTGAGCAAATGCTGATACATTTGTAGGAAATTAGCAGCAGGTCAGCACAGAGACATTTATTTTCAGTCAGAGGTATTTATCTGGCAATGACATTCTGTTCCAGTGACTTATTTTATTATATGAAAGGATTAAAGAATAAAAGGAGGAGGGAAAGGGAAGGAGATGCAGAAATGAAAATAGACTGACAGCAGTTCCTGTGTTAACATGAGAGTTGCTGACTCTGCACAGCAAGAAAAGCTATGTTCCAACTGGGAGCAATAACCTTTCCTGAACTTAAGCTTACTCCTAATAGGGCAGAGGAGAGGAAGGGGTAAGGGTCCTTCTTAAGTATGCTACACTTTCATGGAAAAACTGACTTAAACAGAAGAAGACAGAGAATCATATCTTCAGAAGATCTATTTGGATTTTCACCCATCTATGATCTGAACCATGCCATATGGAAGCTCTGCTGCATGTGCTCTTCAGGTCTAAATAAAGTGGCACAAAGTAGCAGGTTTTACCTATCCTTAATATGGACCTACATAAAGCAGATGCCTGCACAAGTCTTCTAAATTATGAAAGCAGCAATGTCTACACCTTACCTCTTTCAGTTTGGTATCGCTGAAGGCTGGGGTCAGGAGGCTCCGCACAAACTTCCATCTGTCATCACGAAGACAAAGGATGCTATCAAGCATTGGCTTGGATATCAACTTCGGCTTCTAAGTTGAAAGAAAACATAATTCAATTTTAACACAAATGCAACTACAGCTACTCAAGACTCTGGAACTTGGGAAGATTGCTCAGGAAAGGCATTGTACTGCTGCCCCATGAAGAGAGGTTCAAATCAGTCCCAAACACCAAGCTAAACATGGATGAGGCTGGAGAAAATTTCTCTTTTGCTGCACTCATTTTCTCTTGGGCTTTAAAAGTCCTGGACCAGCTCCTTTCTCAGACTGCTCCGGTTCTGATGCCCCTGGTGTTCTCCTGAGATCTCCTTCACTGAGCCCTGGCTTCTTCCCTATCTTTCTAAGGTGACTGGCAAGAGGACTTGTCAACACTCCCTGTTTGTGTGACATGAGTGCCAACGCACCGCATGCTGGTGTTGGTGGGGGACACCATTTCTGGTGACAGCTGGCATGTCAGGCTGTTATATGCATTTTAAAAGTCTTCAGAAAATATGACGATTAGAAAGCAAGTCCCAGTCCTTACTCTGTTTATAAGGAACACTCTCACTAAGAAGTTGTGGCCTGTGACTCTTATAGCTGCAGCAGTTGGTCAAATACAGCAACTTAAAGCACTGCTCCATGAAGTTCTGTACCAAAATGGCTACTGTGAACTTAGTAAATCTTGCCTGCTATCTAAGAAATTCTTGTCCAGAAAACAGTGATATTCACCAAGGAGTAAAAGGATATAAAAGACAAAAGAGCAAGCGCATCAGAAAACAACACACTTCTGACTGGAAGAAGAATCAGAAGATGTCCAGCCCCACAGCACAAAATATTACATCTTATACTATGTCAGAAGACATTTCCTAATTGTTCCTGAAGAATTGTTCCCCAATAACAGAGATTCAACAACCTCCCCACTCAAACTCTTCCAGTGCTGTACTGCTTTTACCATGGCAGCACAATCTCTCTCTCTTGCTGGAACTTTTGTCTTTGTGCTGTCCAGGCATAGAAGTCAGGTTATTCTCCCTATCTTTGCAGTAGCCCATACACACAGAAGGCTGTAACAACCACTAAACATATTGCAGCCATCTATCCCACACAACACCATTTCACTCAACACATACTTATCAGTCATGCTCTCTAGGACTGTTTGCTCAGTGTTGGTACTGTTCCTCTGCACAGTCTTGCTGATTTACTTCTTTCTTAAGGTACAGTCCCTGTGACCCAGCATGGTACTCCAGGCAATAAAGGATTTTATTCCCCCCTTCCAGGCTATATTCCTCTTATTCACCCTGGAATATTACATACCACAGCATGACACTGTACTCATGAACTGGTTTGTAGCACCCTGCAACTTTCAAACTTCTTTCTGAACAATCACTCCCTAGGAACTTATTCTCCAGCCTTTATCCTTAAAGCTGGTGACTCCCCATTCATATGCAGAAAGTGTCCCTTTGAACTATGACCATTCCCTTTAAGATTATTTGTGCAACTGGATATCACCACCTCAAATTTTAGCCCTTTCTTTCACAGCCTCTTTCATCCTTACCAGCTTTCTACAGAAATTGTTAACATACTCAGCGCCAACATCTAAATCATTAACAAAATTACAGAACAATTCTTGCAAAGAAGGCACCCTGTGCTCCTCCCTTGCCTTCCAACAGTGGACTGTTCCAAAATACATTTCAGGCATTGTACAGTAATATCCTCCAGAAAAACCACTCTAAGATTGATGGGTGTGGGCAGAAGGTCTACTCTTCTCTGGTTACCAGGAGGTGCAGAGACATTCATTTGTGCATGTGAGATCTTCTGGATGTTGCAGCAGCAGTACAGTTCCCCAAGTTATCAGTAGAAACAGTATCCATTTTACTGGGAGAGACTCAAACAAACCAATGATTTTGGCCATCTCAATGCCATCTATTGATCCCTTTTGTCCTCTGACCTTTCCTTTCAGTCCTTCTTTCATTACTACAGTGCATGAAAAATGAATTCTTACAACCTGTAACACACCTGGATACTTTAATATCATTTTGTGCCTCACTATTTCTGACTTTATTGCCATTACATGCTATTTTTTTATCTTTTTTCTTGGAAATCTGACCTACTTTCCACTCTGTAAAAAAAACAACTTCTCTTCAGGAGCCATGAAGAACTGGCAGTTTAGCTACACTGGTCTTCCACTGCACTTCCTTAACTTTCCTCCTTATTGAAAGAGTTTGCACTTAATATCATTTCTTTAAGGAGCTGCCAGCTCTCCTTAACACCTTTTTCCTTTACACTTGCCAAATTCTTACTACACTGCATAAGCTTGTAAAAAGCAGAAGCCTATTTTATATTGCAAACAGGCTAATGGGATAGTTTTACATTCTCAGCAACACCCTCTAGTATAGTAAACTAATGTCACTGGGACAACACTACAAACCAGTTTTGAGCAAAGATGAGCAGCTTTCAAGTAGAAAAGTACATATTAAACTGAAGGAAGATATTGACTTAGCTACTGTCATCAGATGACAACTGTAAAACAAAACAAGGGCACTTTTAAAATGTATGTATAGAATATTCTATTTTGTACAATAACAAGGAAAATCTTGGACAGGCTGTCAGAGTTGAAACATCTTGGACTATTTACTCTGAAGAGCCTCTTTAAATAAATAATCTGTTTTCTAATTTGTCAGTAGGTATCTTTCCTGAAGATCACAAGGGCAGCTAGAAAGAACATCACTCAGTGAAGCACTCCATCATTTGTTACAGATATTCAAAGGCACAGTGGAATCAGAACAAAGAGCCTCCAGACAATTGGAAAAGAGCATCTTCCTGTCAGAAAGTCCTGTATGCTACCCTCTGCTCCACAGCTCTTCTGTGCTGCTAGGACAGCCATTTACACTTAATCTTGACTCAGCTGGTCACTAAAGGAGTGCTCCTTGTATCTTCAGTCTTCATTTCAAACCCTGAGACCCAGACTGCAGTGCTCCTGAGTGCTCACTGAAATCAACAGGGGAAGTGCCTTGATCCTGTGAATGCATTAGTCCAAGAAATCAGGTCATTGAGTGCAGCCCCCAAATTAGCAAACACTCTCAGACCTGTTTCAACCACCAGCCTTCACTTCTGCTTTATAAAGTGGATATATCACATCACCTCCTCAGAAATGCTAACGAGACATTAACATTTCTGAGGCACTCAGGAACTACAATGAAAGAGCAGAATAACAATTCCCACAAGGAAATTACCAATTTTGTCTTCCAAGCAAGGTTTAAATAGCATACAGGAAAAAAAAAAAAAAAAAGAAAGAAAACCAGAAAAAAATTACAGGGCAACACTTGGAAAGTATTTTGCATCCAGTCCTAAATTGAAGGCTGCCCAAACTGTGCACTCTATAAGACAAATCTCTTTTGCAAGACAAAGCTCCACTTAGATAATAACAGATGTGATATAAATCTCACTGCATTTGTCTTGAAAGCAAATTCCCTTCCTAAAACCAAACATTCACCCTAAAAAGTGCTCCTAATTGCATAAAGACCGTATACAGCACATTCATAGAGGGACTCAGTTATTGAACAAAAAGCCTGCTAACTATAATATTATAACTACAACCCTAACTACAGCACTGCCTTTTTAGCACTCTGCTTTATGACAGCAATGCTCCCTTAACATCATTTTGGTGTGCACAATATAATATACATATAAATGCTGCAAGGAAGGAAAACCAGCTTTGGCCATAAATTATTTTACTCTGTATCTTTAAAACTGGGCACACAAAAATTTGTGTTTATTGGAATACCATCAGAATGACTGACAGTGTATAGCAGATTTCATTTATCAAGTTTTCCTTATTGTTTCTGCAAACACTTTCCTCCTAATTGCATAACCTGTGTTGCAGGTTCATATAGCAGGAATGAAAATGGATTTGGTATGAGAATGAGCCTGAAATATCTCAGTGAAAGATGAAGTGTCATCTCTTTCCAAATGGACAAAATGCTATATGTATGTAAAAAATCTTGAGCTTATAAAAATCACCAAAAAAATTACCATGGGAGGCAGCTGTAATATTTTCAGGGGTAGTATTTTGGTTTTTGGGGAGCAAAGGAGGTTGTTTTTAAGTCAAAGGCAATCAGGATTATGTTCCATCCATCATTATCTCAATACTGAACAACTGCTCTGTGCTTCTTTCTCCTGTGTAATCAACCATTTCTGGTACAGCAATGCTCCATGAAAACTACTGGCAGCATGGTAATCTCTTGCAGTGTACCTGCAAGTGCTGCTGAGTTCCCACATTCACAGACATGCCATCAACCACAACAAGGAAAATTGGATTGATTTGCTTGCAAACGAATCCTTTAAAACATTACTGCTTTTAAAAGAGAAAATGAAATAATATTTGCAGATGAGTAGCTTCTCTACAATTGATGCAAGAATTCCCTCCCCCACAAGGTGTTCCTCAGGATGACCCCTCAGACCCAGTTATTGGCTTGTTTGTCATGAGTCAGTTTGGCTTCCTCTGTGTTACTAAATAATTCAGGCAAGTGAATCTTTAGCTCTAAGGCCAAGTGGAACAGAACATCCCCTGTCCCCAAAGTTAAATCCCTTTCCCAAAAACAGTGGAAATATCCAAACTGCTTCTGGTCATGGCACATGTTCTTCTCCTGAACTGTGCCCAGGCCATGCCTGGGAGACAACTAATCAATACACAACAAAACTGTGCTAAGAAGCATGTCAAATGGATATCTGTAGGACCTATTCATGCACTAATATCCTGCCCCTGTTTTATCTTGGAGTAAAACTGCAGCCTTCTGTGATTCAAACAATATTTGCTCCTTTCCCAAGTTTGTCACTAGCAGGCTAGACTGAACCTCTGGCAGACAGCAATGACTGCCTAGAGCAGAAAGAAGGGTAACAGCACCATTATGCTCCCTTAGACACCTCTTATTTCTTTTGGCAGAAAAATGAAGGATAAAGTTTCCCCAGCAGAAGGTAGTTAATGCAGCCATGCACTTTTTAAGTATCCTGAAGAGATGAATCTTCAAAGAAGCTAAAGGGTACCTTCAAAGACCTTT